TTTGTGCATTTATCACAAATCACACATCGCAGATTTTCCTAATATGCGTCCCTGATCAGGTGCCCAACTTTGAAAAAAGTAGACAGTCAAAGATACACAAAACCAAATACTGTGTGTAATTATAAACCTTGTGCATAATGTTCTACACGTACGAACACAGTGTACTGTAGTTTACTGCTAACTGAGCACACTCACTAAATACTGTATGAGTGTGTGTGGAGAGGTGAATGAGGACACCGATTGGGTAGTTTAGTGCTTTGAATAGCCTGGTTGGTTAAAAATGYGTAAATACAGTCCATGGATCATATATTGGTCTAAATACAAACATTAAAGTCATTAAAATATTTCATTAAGTTTACTTGAATTTAAAGTTTACTGTTGATATAGTAAACTCACAAAACACAACAAGCTCTAGGATTATAATAAGCTTGAGGAAAATATGTAACATGTAGATGATCAAATAAGAAGCAGGTGTTCACAAGCAGCTGCAGCAGAATAAAAAAGAATCAGCACCAACATCTCTTGTTCGTATGGTTTTCATGCCCTTCTCAGAAAGTTGTCACACATAGTGTGATCCCCTGCAAGCAAGGAGAAAATCCACGTGCAGCTATGATTTAATGAGAAGCTGTGAAAGAAAATAGGACGCTTAAACTCAGCTTTTCTCACAAATAATCAAGTTAATGGAGARCACGCCAATTAAAATTCATGTTAGCAGCTGCAGCCATGCAGAACATCAAATCTGTCCATWTCCCATTATTATACTCTACAATCTCCTGTTATACAAGCAGTGCTTTAATACACTGAAGCTTTCTTATTACCATCCTGTTCAACWTGTTGTCCTCCAGCTTGTCTTTTTAACTTGTCATATGTTGTACAGAAAACACTGAGATCATGAGTCTCCTGCTGCCAGGGGTGGACCCTCTGSCTTACTGGGCAATGCCTGGTGGGCCGATCCAAAAAACTGTGTTATAAATCCTTTTTTGGGTGGATGTTGCCATGCACCGGCGCCACCGGACCCTCTGACAACCATCAGCAGGCAAGGTGGGTGAGGTGTAACAGCCCAAGGACACAACCACTGAGATGACTGGGATGGGGGATAGAACCGGCAACCTTGTGGTTACAGGACGACTCACATCCTGTCTGTAGATGTTCCATGTTCAGTATTTTCATGTTAACATGTTCATGTAACGTAAATTAASAGGCAATTTGTCATTTTTAGAGTCATTCTTGATAATTAATCAGTAGTTTATTTTGATAATTACTTTGACAGACATGACATGTGTTTTAAAGTATCTGTATTAGATCAGTATCGCCCACTTCAAATTCCTGAC